ACTGTCCTCACCTCTCAGAGGAGGGGCCACCAGGCACTATGGGAGCCCAAAACAATGTCGAATGAGGGTAATGGCCTCTCTGAGAAGGATCTGTTTTTGCCATAGAAAGGGAAGGGGGTTTCTCATGTCCAAATTTCGCTGGGGACTGGATGACAGCGAAGAGAGAGCAGGCCCCTCCACCATCATTTTATTGCCCCGGATCGTGGGGACTACAGACGTCAGGTTAGTGTTGTGCTCTGGGGGACAGGGTGGGGTGTGACAGAAGTGTCTCCAGTGGTAATGCCCATGGGGCATGCCTTGGAGATGAGAATGCACACCCTGTCCAGGAAAAGCTGCACCAGGTGGGGAGTGGCCAGTCTATCTGCCAACATATGTCTGACCTGTGCCCACAGTGGAGCGTCTCAGCCATGTGCTCACCCCATCCTCCCTCCCTCTTTAGCAATGTCAGCTCTGCATACATATCCCCTCCTGGTTCCCCTCAAAGGATCAACCTTGTCTTTCCTTAAAGATAACGAATGATAGTAATGATTTCAGGGGAGGGGAAGCAAAAAGCAATCCACTGGGCGGAACCAAAACTGGTTTTGCTTTGACTTTGAAAATGGCAACACATCAGCTATTCAGTCTGTTCGCTCAGAATGGGGCTCCGGGGCTTAACTTCTTTGGGTGGTTTCTGGCTGATGTGGGCAGAATCAGCGCTTCGGCTCTCTCTTCTCATCTCAGTCACCATCCCCCTCCCTCCAAATGCTTTTGTTTATAAAGAAAAGGTGTCTAGAAGCATTTGTCTCTGGAACAATTACTTTAAACATGGTTACAATACAGACTTCAGTTCAAACACAGAAGAGATTTACTTAGCGAAGTTCCTTTCACCCACCCAAAATTACACAAATAGAAGCCTCAACACCACAGTTAAGAGGACCAGTAGAGAGAACCTCATGTTTGGAACACAAAAGGAGAAATAAAAACCAAACCAAACCCAAACAGAAAAACCCCAGAAAGACAAGGAAAGGGCAAAGGAGGAAGGAAAGGAGAGCAAACACAGCACATAGTACAGTGTCCAGATACACGGGGAGCCCAGCACAAGGAATGGGCTCGGCACACATTGAGTAACAGTCCTGGTGATATTTGGTCATATATTCATCAACTACTGACTCTGGAGCAGCTGTTATTGATTGAAGCAGTGACAAATCAAACAGAAAAGGAGGCCGTGGTAGCAAGGGAAGGAGCAGGCTTCAAGTTCTGCAAGCCTTTTGCACTCCACTGTCCAGCTCCCCAGAAACACTGAACCGGGTGGGCTCCGCTCCATCTGGGCGGGGCTAGAGGTCACCGGGTGAGGCTAACTCGGGCGCTGATTTCATGTCAGTCAGAGAGCACGCACGTGGACACACGCGGACACCCACCTGTTAGTGACCAAACATCAGCGGCAACGGACTCCTCTGCCCACACCCCAGGCTAGGTGGGAAAGAACATCGAGACCCATGGCTAATACTGAACGCATGCTGGAGCAGGCCCCGGGATGCGGGCCCAGAGGCTGCCCCAGGCCTGGTCCTCCAAGAGGCTTGAGGGTAGCCTGGCCACTCCACCATTTCTCATTTGGATTCAGGCCTCAGAAGAAGCAATAACGCAAGGAGGGAAGCTTTTGGCCCTGGTGATTATAATGCTCTCTGCTTTGGAAGAACAAGTTTTTGGATTTTTTTTTTGGTGTTTTTAATTACTTAAAAAAAAGATCAAAAAGAACTGTTACAGCTAAACTCTCCAGCAGATATTGCTCATTAAGAATTACAAAAGCAAATGCAATTACTCATAGGATGAGGGAGAAGAAGGGACATTTCTGGAGTCTTCACTACTTCCTGGAGGGACTCACTGGACTGGTGCACAAGATTCTGGGGTCCCTGGCATTCTACCTGGTGCAGCTCACAGGTTCAGAGACAGGACAGGCCTGCCATGTCCCCTCCAACCCCCGCTTCGAGCCCTACTGGTGGGGAGGCCTACTAGCCAACTTCTCCACATGGGCTCACCCTGACCGGGTCACTGAAAGGGGGTTGGGGGGAGTCAGGCCACCCCAGTGGACTCCAGCTCCCCTCTCCTAGAGGTGGAAGGGGACCAGGCTGTGCTGACTATATTCTGGACTTCAGTGGGTCAAGGGAGTGCTCTTGCACTTGCCCACGGAGGTGAATTGTCCTGCACCCAGAATCTCGGGACCTCTTTGACAAGCACAGGAGAAATAGAGTGCAAAACCTGGATGCTGCCTGGAGCCTCCTTCACTTGGCACAGGGAAGCCCTTGAAAGAAGTGAGGAAAGACCACGGATCTGCTTGGACAGAAGAAGTGACCAGCAGACAGATTTGTCGTTTTTTTTTCTTTTTTTTTCTTTTTTTATTTTCCCTTGTCCTATGCTATGGTTATCAGAAATATTGTAATTAAGCAACAGGTATAATTTTAACAGGTCTTTTTTTGTGTGTGGAGCCACAAGCAAATGAGTTTATAATTGTGCAATATACAGATATATATATAAAAATTCAACTGCTTTGTGTGTCTAGTCGGTGCATTAAATAAAAGGGACAGAAAAATTAAAAGCAAAACTAAAAAGCAAAACAAAAGCCTGGGATAGAGGAGACAAAGCAGGCTTATGCATACAGTCTGTAAGTTACTGGGTATAATGAGGGTTACCAGGAAGCACAGCTTTGCCACTTGACACACACACACTGTGGAGAGGGACTATTGGTGGGTAGGAGCTCTCGCTGCTGAGCAGGACCTGATGAAAGGTAAGGCAGAAGGGGCAGCTGGGGAGCAAAGCGATTTGCAAGTTTCCCAAATGCTCAATTCAAAGGTGGGATTTCCTTCTGTGAGGGTCTGGGCTCTGCCTGTGCAAAGTTGGTGGGGGGTGTCCTCCCTGCACCGCCCTCACACCTGCCCTCCCTCTGCCTCCTGACAGGGCAGGCAGGGTAGTTCGGGAGGCAGCGAGAGGCTTGGGGTGAGGAGCCAGTTGAGAGGGGAGCGCTATGGTGCGCGCCACACAGCCACTTCTCTGAGGCCCAAGACCCAAGGAGAGCAAAGCAGGAGGAATGTGCAAGGGGCAGCCCCAGAGGAAGGGGCAGGGCACACCACAGGCAGAGTTGTCTTCCTAGTTTCCTGGGTGTTTTCCTGACAAATCAGTGCGGGGGCAGGCTGTCACGATGAGAAGAGAGCAGGAAGTAGGGTGGTGCTGGGCCTTCCGGGTCACTGGTGAATGCTCCGCTTTCCATACCAAGAGCTGGGCTCTTGTAGCTTTGGGACCAGGCTAACCTTCATACTACCCACACGGGACAGGGTCAGAAGCTGTATCCTCAGGGACTGTTACCCAAGGAGAGACTGGCTCGCCAATGACAAAATGGCCCAAAGTCTCAGGAGGCCCCTGGTTCCACCTCCTCAGATACAGGAGGCTTCAGGCTAGACTTGCCTTTGCCTGTGTAACGCTCACCAAACATCTCAGGCCAAGCACTAAGTATTTTTAGATCAGCATTTTTGCAAAAGCTTGCTCTTATTCATTCAGAAACATCAAAATGTAATTTCCTGCCAAATGTTTTCTAGGTTTTCCTTCTAAATTGTTGAGAACTAGTTTCAATGTTCAGTTTTCCCCCTTTAATATGTAATTTTAGACCATGGGAGAGGCAGTATCCTAGCGATTTATAACAATTAGACTATATATGCCTTTTCTAAAGACTGATACAGTATCTAAAAGAGAAAGACACAAAAATGGAGAGAATCAACAAATCCCTTCAGAGTGGAGCTAGTTCACTGATGCAGACAGCAGAGAGGCAGAGCAGGAAGAGGGCACGGAGGGAGCACAGGCCTCTGCCTCAGACACGGGATGCTGCTGCTTCTGTGCTGCCGCAGGTGCTCCAGGCCTGTTCCATGGCAAGAATTTGGGGGACTTGCTATGCGATCCTCCCCAGGGGCTCTAGAAACAGCTTATTCCCCGAAGTCTAGGCCATTGGTCCTAGGATCTGTAGGTGTGAACTTGAATCAGAAAATCAATTTGGGGCAACAACACAACCTAGAATTGATGCACAAAGGTCTTCTCAAAGGACTGGTGCCTGTGACCTCCCCCAGCCCAGTCAGCCCAGAGAGCCTGGCTGGAATGCTCTGGAAAGGGGGCTGTGGTTAGAGAGGGGATACAGACCTCTAGCTGTCAGGATCCACTTGGGCTGAACAAAATCCGGCTGATCCCACTTGGTGGATTCAGTTCACATCCTTTTGCTTTCTCTTGGGTTTGAGCCACTTACTAAAAGTTGTTGAAAATTCAGAGATCCTGTCAGCTAAGGAAACTCCCTTCCCCATCAAACTTGGCAGTTTGTTTCTGGTTATTACCTTCTTTCATGATCTGTCACAGCAATGACAAGCTGGGCAGAGAAGCAGGTGAAAATCTGGGGCTGCTCCAGTTCCCATTTCCAATGTTGGTGGCCTCTGGCCTGGAATGATGCCACCAAACAGACTGTATTGGGCTCTTACCATCCAGTGAGCTGAGAGGCTTGGGGCCCCTGGCTAGTATGGCACTGATGGACTGGGGGATGTGGCATTTCTAGGTGTCCCCTGTGCCTTTTGATATAGCAATACAGCATCACAAGGGAGCTGTACTAAAGCCTGGCTGTGGCCAAGGGTCCCCAGCTCATTGCATTGTCAAGGCCGGCAATTCCACTGGTTACGATAAGCCCACCAACAGGCAGGGCGGGGCCGGGATGTGCATACCTGGGAGGAGCTTGAGGACATACAGTCTTCTGTCAGGAGAGGAGGTAGTAACTAACTAGAACAAGGGTGAGGGAGACTGTGGATGTGACCTTAATGACCTAGCCCCATGAGTATTTGAAAGCTGTTGGTCAACTCATTCCTGTATTCTTCACAACTTCACTGAAAAATGCCTCCCAATCTTCACGGTGTTCAAGTACAGACAAAATCGAGGTCACACCCCAAAACTGGACCCAACGCAGCTGGTGAGAATCCTGTGGCTTAAGGCTTTCCCTTTAACCTCCTGTCAACCTGACCCCGAGGCAGGGGCAGCATGGGACCTATAGGGCCCCTGCCTGCCAGGGTGATAAACCGTGCTGCCTTTATTTGGGGAAGAAGAGGGAATGGGGAAGACAGCGGGGAAAGAGAGAAGACCCAAAGGAGCCTCAGGCACCACCTGCAGCTTTGGAAGGAACTCTAAGGAAAGGCAGCGGGGAGTGAAGGAGCTGCAGGTGGGGGGGGGGCCCAATCGAAAGAAAACGACACCTCAAATGCTGTGTTCCCAACCACAAATGCCCAGTCAGCCCTTGAATGAACTGTCATGGGTGTCAGCAGAGCCTGGTGGGCCCCTGCACTCCTCTTATCAGGACCAGATCACACTCGGCTGATGAAGAAGCCAGCTCCTGACACCGGGTCCAGGAGCCACATTTCACTGGACTAAATATAATGCATAAAAACCCAACTGACCAAAACAAGCATCTCAGTGACAACCTGGCTGGATGCTGCACTTGCATGATAGGTGTCCTTTGGGGGTGCTGGGAGTGTGAGGCTGCTGCGGGGACAGGAGCCTTTTGTCCTTGGAGGAAGAGGAGTTCCGAAGGACTCGCCTGCTCCTCTGATCCCCCTTCCCTTCCTGGGGAGGAGTCAGAAGTGAAGCCGGGAGGTCAATAGCAGAGCGGGTAGAAGGGCTCAGGGACCTGGCTGATGGGTGTTTGGTTGCAGGACTTGCTTTTACAGCATAAGGAAATGGATACATATATGCTAGAAAGTCTAACTATGAGACTCTACAAACAGAATGGGGCAAACTCCCTCACTTCTAACCATTCCAGAGGAGACAAACACGTTTTTTTCTTAAGCTACTGATTGGAACTGTCAACTATGGTTCCTGATCACTAAAGACTGGCAAGGAAGTGCTAGACAGTTTCTATGATGTTTCACTCCTTCATGATTACACCGTAGTAAGGAAGCCAGGGGACAATAACTGAAATACACAAGACAACACGCACTTGACAGTTCATGGCAGCAGCTCACATGGGACATGCCTGTGGGTGTTTCTGGAAGCATAAGACTGCTGTCTCATTTGCTACTTTGTTAAGGTACTTCTCAGTTGGACAGATTTAGATATAAGAGACATCTCTGTAAACACAGAAAAGGATATACCAATATGATGAAGATATGCAGCTAGATAAGGACTTCCTGAACAGAGGTTAAAAAGATGGGATCCCAAATGAAAACTGATCATAAAAACCCATAGCAAGCCCAACCCTCTAAACCCCACACCACACCCATGGACCAGATATTGAAGTGCCTGGTTTTCTGGCCCCAGTCTCCAGTGAGTAAAAGCAAAACATTTCCATTACAAAAGGAGGAGCAGATGAGGGGCTGGGAGCCCAGGTGCTGGTCCTGGCTTGGGTTCTGGGGTCCACTTGTCCTGCTGCACTATGCTAAACTCTGAGTGAGGCCAATGTGAAGGAGGCAGGGAGTCCCTGCTGGGCCACTTGATGACTCTGGCAGGCCACTGGGGGCCTCTGTGCTTTCCTCAGCTACGAAATCTGGCCCAGCTTCTCCAGCTCACTTCTCTAGAGTAGAAGGGTGAAAAGGCTCATTGTTCGGGGTCTGAAAAGCCTTTTGCTTTTTTCTTACCAGGGAAGAGGGGGCTATGTAGGAAAGCAAGACCTTGTTGCTCTCTTGCTCTTCATAGAGAGGCCAGGTTGGACTCAGCAGAGCCCAAGGCTTCCTCAGGGCTCAGAACAGGGTGGGGCTGGTACTGGCAGCAGGACGGCAAAGGGCAGGGAGAGTTCTAGGGGCTGGAGCTGACAATTGCCAGCTTGGTATATGGTTGGGCACTGCAGCTGCCTGGAACAGAAAGGATGAACTGGGAGGAAGGGGAAGAAAGGAAAGGATGAAATGAAAGAAAGGCAGAGATGGAAGGGGAGGAGAGAAACCAATCAGGAAGTCCTTATAAAATTGCAGCAAACACTTAGAGTTTCGGAGCTTCGTGGGAACCCTATGTGCTGAGCCCACTTTAAAACAAGCGCAGGTATATACAGATCCAGGTAGTTCTGAACACCATCACGTCTGGTGGCTTGAGGGACAAAGTGTCACCAATTCAAGCCAGTTTGCTCTCAGAGCATCTGTTTGTTTTGAAGTGGGAACATGAAGACTCAATAGTGCAAATAATTCTAAGCTGTCCCTAAAGGAGTAGAATTGGAAAGTAATTGGAAGAACATTTTCCTCTCCTCCCCCTTTGCCCCCTGCCCTGTCCACTAAGTCCCTAACTACCAGTCACAGACTGCTTTGAGAGATTAGGAATCCCTCTTGCCCCACAGAGCTCTGCCCGGCCCCAACCTTGAGCCAGCTTGTCTATGCCTTGTCCTGCTGCCTCCATGGCCTCTCTAGCGACACCCACTGGAGGACGTCCCTTGAGAATGGGTGATGTCACCTCACCCTGGGCCATCCTCTCCTGTGGCTCAGGCCAGTTTACCCCCAGCAGTTCAAGGGATGACTCCCTCCTAGCCATGCCAGAACTGGAGCAGACAGGTGCCACTTTCCTGTCCTGTGAAATGTCCTTGTCAGTTTTGGATTGGGGCTGGTGTGGGGCCAGACTCGTGCCACCACGGGTGGGATCACGTTGGCCATAGCCACTGGCCATCTCCGTCATTGTCTCTAAAGAATCCAACTGTCTCTCCTGCCTCACACCTCCCTGTCCCAACATGTTTGGGAGTGGGGGAGGTGAGGGGAGCTGAGGGAGCTGTAGGCAGGGCACCAATGGCACCAAAAATGGGAGTGTCCTCTCAACTGCTCTCTGTCCCTAATGACCACATGGGGGAAAGGTTTGGGTGGGAGGGGAGGTGCCTGGTCAACAGCTTGTCTGGTCAGTAGTATCTGCAGCAAGCCTTGTTGAAGGAGCCTAGTTTAGAAAAGTGCAAAGCTACTTCTGGCCCTGGTTAGGTCTTCAACCTGACTGTGCTTGTCGGTAAGAAAAACATCCCCAATGCTCCAACTACTCCCACCCTGAAGCCACGAAACTCTAAGTTTACTGAAAGAAAAAAAAATATTTTTTATTTCAGTTAATCGGGAAGCTTTGTCAGAGCCCTACCCATAAGGAGAAGAGACAACAGCTGCCTTTATTCTTGTTGGTTTGCTTTGCAATCCGCTCTGTGTAAAGTCAGCTAACTCTCTCGGTCACGGGCGTCCGGCTGTCCACAGGCTCCTCTCTGTTTGGCCTTGGCATGGAGGATGAAACAATGTCTTTGCGCTCTCCCTCCCCTCGGTGTTTGTACTTTTCTGCGGCCGTGGCGGCAGTAGCGACCGCAGGCTGAGTCTTAGCTGGCTCCTTGGGGCAGCCGTCACTCTCCAGTGAGCCTCCTCTGGGCATCTTCTCCTCTTTGCAGACGCTGCTGCTCAAGTCCTGGGGCTCAGGGGGGCTGGTGGGGTCCTCAGAGCTCTCAGGCTCGGGCAGGGGTGGAGGCAGGGGCGGGAGCAGCGGCGCAGGGGCCTTTGGGGACTCTGCGTGGTGGTGATGATGGTGGTGCTCCTTCTTGGGGGGTGAGGAGGCACTGCTGCTGCTGCGCCCCTTGGGGCTGCTCTCCTTGCTTTTCCGCCCGGGGCTCTTGCAGGTCTTCAGTCCCTTCCCGCTCTTCTCACCAAGAGTGGACACCAGCAGGGGCTTCACTACTTCCTTGACCTCAATGCTAACTGTCTCCCGGGTCTTGCGCTTCTTGATGGGGAGTACGGTCTCCTGCACAGACCGGATGGAAGACTCCTTCACAGCTTTCTTCTTGGCCTCGGCAGCAGCGGCCGCCACCACACTCCCCGGCTTTCGGCCTCGTTTCTTGGGAATGGCCTGGGGGTCAGCCTCGGCTTTTCGCTTCCTGCCAGGGCGTTTGATCACCATGACCTGGGCAGATGTGGTGGCCCCGCCCCCCTCAGCCTTGCCCCCTGGTGAAGCTTGAAAAGGCATCTTGACGAGGAGCTTCCCAGGACTTTTCTCCAGGACCCTTTTCACCTGTACACCCTCTGACGCTGCCGCCTTGGGTCTCGTGGTGCCACTCCCTTTGGGGCGTCCCCGACCTCTGCCAGTTCCTGGAGCTTTGGGAGATTTGGGCTTCTTAGGTGGTTTCTGCTCTCGCCGGGAGGGGCTCCCTCTCCCGGTTACCGTGAAGTCAAAATCATTAGGGTCCAGGGATGTGTCGCCTACCTTTTCGAAGTACGCAATCAACTCCACTTTAGAGCGAAAGGCTTTTCCCTGGGGACTGTGGGAATAAATGGAGAGACACAAAGAACAATTAGAAGCTTTCCACGGCAATGTCAGAGATAGGGCAGAGCCGGATGGTGGTGACAAACTCTCTGATAGACATTACTACTGAAATAAGAGTCGTATTTAGGAAAAGCCAGGATGAGCCAAAGAGGGGCACAGCCAGGGTTATATGTGAAGCAATGCAGCATGGGCAGGAATCAGGTCGCCTGGTGGAAGTGGGCACTTGCATGGCCTGCTCCGATGCTGAAACAGCTGGGTGCTGGCTGCTCAACAGCTGTTGTCTGGATGCCCTCCAAGGACCTGTTGTCACCAAGGCCGCTGCTCTGGACCCCCAGGCCTCTCCACAATCCAGCAACCAAAGGGGCCAGGCCTGATATAATGGGAGCCCATCAGGCTGGGGGCCATTCTGCTGGTTGGTGCCTGGGCCTGGGCCTGATCCACCACCAGAATATTCCTGTATCTGAACTTAGGCCTGGTGCTCAGCCTCTCTGGAAATTGGTTTCAACAGATAATGCTTTGCTCAACCTTCTCAGAGCTGTGGAATTAAAATGAGGCTGTCCACAAATGTCCTTTGAAAACTGCTAACCTTTTTGGGATCACTTAAGGGGCCGAACTGATATGTGCTTCTTTACCATTCCTCTGAACCTCTGACCCTGGAAGTTACAGTCACTCTGCTTCAATAGGAAATGCCCAGCTGTCAGTCCAAAGCCAGGCAAATACAAAAGGGAGAGTTGGAAAGGCACATGGAACTTGTCTGTCTCTCCTCAGAGGCTGTTAGAGAACACAGCTTTTTCAACACTGATATGCAGAGGAAAACAAAATCAGTGTAGATTCTATTGCTATTCCATCTCCAGACAAGGACTTGAGGTGTGGAGAGGGCAAAGGGCTTGCTACCCCAAGAACTCCCCACTCAGGGCAGTCATCTCTGTATATAGTCATTCCAAGCATACCTGGTCTTGGTGTCATTATTTATGTCCCCTCCAGGTAGGGTTATGCACACGCATTTTCCTGATCAATGAGCAGCAAAGAGCTGACCTCCCACCCACCCAGCTCTCCCCACCCTGTAGAGACAAGAGTTAACCTTACTTACTTGATCAAATATACATCATACTTCCCAGCAGAGCGGCCAGATTTCCTTTGCTTAAGTTTTCGTGTCCAACCTTCAGGCAGGGTGGGGTCGTCATACATGGGTCCCCGGTCACGAATGATGGAGCGTCGCTGTTTGGGGGAGGCCGAAGCTTCTGGCACGGCTGGGGCAGAACCTGACCCTTCTGATGTCTCTGCTTTGCCTGCCTCTGCTGGCTCAGCAGAATGGTGGGCTGATGGCTGCAGAGGCTCATGCTTGCCCTCTTTGTCTTCTTTCTTATCTTTCTTCACTTTTTTAAACTTTAGAGGCTTGTCCTTGAGGCCCTGGAGGTCCTGGTCTTCTGACTTTTCTTCCCTGAAGTGTTAAACAAATATATAAGTATCACAGAAAACACATCAGGCTGCAGAAAAAGTGAGCAAGGGCAGGCTTGGGTACCCCACCACATGCAAGGCCCCAGGCCACTGCATGCTCAGGTCCTGATGCCTTTCCCCAGGACAATGGGGCCCAAAGATTTCTTTAGGGATTTCTTTGCCGGTGGTGTTGACCTGAACCGTGGCCACCCCCAAGTCCCACTCTTAGCACTGTAGGAGTGAGTGACCTGTAATAGGTAGGTGTCTTTCTTCTGAGTAGAAATACTGTGTGGTTTGTCAGCATACCACCTGGCAGAGGCCACTTTCTGAGTCACGCCCCAAGGGCCTCTGGGCTTGACAGCTGACAACTGGGGAAAAGGAGCTACCCACCCAAAATGGGAGGAGTGGGAGTCCCCTTCATGAAGGCCCAGGCTTGGGTGTATTTTCGGTTTACTCAAACGTGTTAACACATCTATCAAATTTGTGCTCAATGAGGCACACTACAACTTACTGATGGAACATGGTCTAGCACTACCCACTCGTGACGTGGCACACAGTGCAGTGTCATGGAAAGAACAAACAGGTTTGGAGCCAGCCAACATGAACTCAAACCTTGGCTTTGCCACTTCCCAAAAATGCCAGGGCTGAGCAAATGCCCTAGCATTCTGTGCCTTAGTTTCCTCATCTCAACAATGGGTAACCCATCCCAGAGGCATCCTTACTGTGAGAATGACGGGAGAAAACGCACAGGGGCACTATATAAATACCAGCTAGCTCAGGCAACCAGGAACTGCTGCCCAGGGTTCTGATGAGATTAGAGAAGTGATTCCAGGTTGTGTGAGTCTTTGTCACGAGACGTTCCTTTACAGGAACAGTCTTAGCCATAGCAGACTTGGAGGGAAGGGCAAAGAAAAAGGTGTGGTCTCGGCAGAGCCATGTGTGCCCTTCCTGCTGGTGCAGAAGAACACCCACCCCATTCCATGGTGGGACACTTCCCTGTTCTTCTATGCTGTCAGAAGCAGCTCCTTCTCTACACATCGGTTTAGCCTGGTAGGGTCCCTTCCTTTGTACCTCAGATATGGCCACTGTGAGGCCCCAGGCCCCAAGATCAGCGTCTGCCCAAGATGTTCTAGTGACCCATCTGAGTATGCCACGATGAGGCTCTCTAGGACTGCAGAGCCTCAGCAATACTGCGACCACCTGCAGCTCTTAGCTGTGGGACAGGCCAAGGGAGGCTTGGAAAGAAGTGGCTGCCTACTAGTCCCCTTAGTTAGCAGTTCATTTTGCAAAAGGCATAATTATTCCTGTCCTCTGTGTTCTCAGCCCCAAAACTCCCCTGTCCCACATGGCTGTCAATGCCAGTCACTGCCTTGTCTACCCCAAGTGACTTCCCCTCTTGTCTACACTGTGAAGACTGTGCAATGAAAGCACCATGGCATGCACTGGCAAGCACCATCAGGCAACCAGGACTCCAATGAGGTGGGTGAGTTATCAAAGGCTGGTTAGGTCCAGGACTCAGAAACTACGAGGATACACCTTTCTAGAATTGTCATGTCAGGTTTGGGGAGGCAGGAGAGACTCTAGTCTAATAACAAGGTCCTAGAATAGATGGAACATCTTGGCCTCACTATGACTTGCCCGAGTTCCTCCCTATCCTGTATCTTCCTCCAGCAATTTAGGTCTCAGAGTGTGGCTGCTGGGGTCACCTAGAGCTGTTCCACACACAGATGCATCCCATAGCCCACAGAGTACCTTTACTTGCTGTAAAGTGGGGGTTTCTAATCTCTTCTGGCACAGAGCTCACTTTTCAAATATCTGAGTCTTAGGGTTCTTAATGGGAAATGAGGAAGAACCCTCGGAAGCTAGGTGTGGCCTGCAGCCCACCCCTTCAGCCTTCAGGACTGGCCCGCTAGGCAGCCCCCCCCATAAAGGAGGAAAGAAGGGGAGCTCGCCAGCAGAGTGGGCCGAAAGGCCAGAGTAGCAGACAGACAGGAATCACCACTTCCACACAATCTACCACAGCACTGCTTAATGCCAGGTCGCTCTCTGGAACCTGGACAGTCCTGAAGTCAGAGAAAAACACTGGACAAATGGGAAAGGTCTGGCCTCTTCGAAACTCTCATTTGTATTCCCAGATATCTTGACCACCACGAGGTCAAGTACAAACCACACGACCAAAAGAATGCCTTCCAGAAATCTCTGCTGAAGACACACCCCTGGAAATGCCAAACAATATATACACATGATGTTATTCACTATAGCATTATTTTTACTAGCTGAAGGCTGCAGATGTCTCGGATCCCGTTGTCAGGGGACTTCTTGAATAAACTGTGGTATACCCACACACTGGAGTACTGTGAAGCTACAAAGGGACTGAAGAAGAGCTCTAAGAACTGCTGTGGAGTGATTTCCAGTGAGAAGAGCAAAGCACAAAAATGTGTATCATATGCTACTTTTTCTGTGAGAGAGGAGAAGGATTAAGGAGGGACACAGCAGGACTAGCGAAAGTGGTGCCCTTCATGGGGTGGGCAAGAACAAGGCAAGGTACAGGCACAGGAGCAAGACCTACTACACCTAGTGGAACATGCCTCTGAGTGTAATTTTGACTACTGAATCACGTAAATGTTTACTTAACTGAAAATAAAATTAAAAAGCAACAAACCATTACGTTGAATGCAAACAGAAGAGTTTAATTGTATATCAAACTGACAACATACCACAAAGGATTTATTTCAAATGACTTTTGACCACAGTGCTCTGGACACCCACAGTAGGACATATTTTAAGGCCAATAATGACACTCCAAGGGTAGTAAATACACCAGACTGGCTCCTAGGAGAAATGGGTGATTCTGGTTCTGGGGCATCTTGTGGTGCCAGAAAGCCAGGGGAGTGCAAGAGGAAAACAGGGAAGACCTGTGAGAAGCTTCTAGCAGCAGTCTCGGCACTGCCCAGCGTGGGGCAGTGAAAGATTTGGGACCTGTCTAGGTGGAGTGACAGAGCTCGCCAGTGGACTGGTGTAGGGGTGAGGGCCAGGGGTGAGTTAGGGACCACTTCCAAAGCCTGGGAGGACAGCAGTGCCATTGACTGAGAAGGGGAAGACTGGACGAGGAGTGGGTGGGTGGCGTGTTATACCCACAATGATGGGGATAAGGTCAAGGAGAGAAAACAGTTTTTCAGCTCCTACCCATAAGCAGGGGAAACTCACCTGTGCTTAGACTCTGACTTGGGCCTAAATTAACTGTTGGTCTGGCTTTTTTTTTTTTTTTTTAGGTTTTTTTTTTATTGTGGTAAAATGTACAAAACAAAGTTTACCTTTTTAACTATTTTTAAGTGTACAATAAATGAGCTTTTAATAGCACTGAAGATGGGGAATAAAGGGCCTTTAAATATCTGTAACATTCCAGTTCTTTCAAATTGAAATTACTTGAAGCAAATATAATACGGTGATTTTTTTTTTTTATTTCAGGGTATTATGAGGGCACAAACATTATGGTTACATTTTATGTCTTTGCCTCACCCAAGCGAGGGTTAGAGGCATGTCCTTCCCCTCTACAATGCTCCCTGTGTCCTTTAGTTGCGGGTTTACCCCCCGCCCATCCCCCTAAATCCCTGGAGAGCATCACTGCCATGTGAGCACCCTGGTGTTCAACAGTTAGTACCAATTTGACGGTGAGTACAAGTGGAGCCCGTTCTTCCGATCTTGTGATACCTCACTTTGGATAATGGGCTCAAGTTCAGTCCAGGAAAGTATAAGAGGTGCTAGATCACTGTCGTTTCTTATAATTAATATTCCATTGTATACATATACCAAATTTTAATAATCCACTCATGAATTGATGGGCATTTGGGTTGTTTCCACATCCTTGCAATAGTGAATTGTGCTG